AAGGATATCATGTTTGGTAAGGTGAAGGGTCAGAGAAAAAGAGGAAGACCCCTAACAAGTTGGATTGGACAAGTGGCAGCATTGATGGACTCAAGTGTGGCAACAATTGTGATGTTGGCCCAGGACCAGGCAGTGTTTCATTCTGTTGTGCATAAGGTCGCTATGAGTCAGTACTGACTTGATGGCACCTAACAACAACAACATATGCATGTGAAATCTGGACAGTGAATAAGAAAGAATGTAGAATTGATGCATTTGAGTTATGGTGTTGGAGGAGAACATTGAAAGTACCAAGGGATGCCAAAAAACAACACATGGAGGAAGTACAGCCAGAATATTCCTTGGAAACCAGATGATCAGACTTCGTCTCTCATACTTCAGATATATTTTCAAGAGGGACCAGTCCATAGAGAAGAACATCATGCTTGGTAAAGTGGAGGGTCAGTTAAAAAGAGGAAGACCCCCAATTAAATGATTTGGCACCGTAGAGGCAAGAATGGGTTCAGGCGTAGCCATGATTGTGAGGTTGGTGCAGGATGGGACAGTGTTTTGTCCTATTGCTCATAGGGTCGCTATGTGTTGATACTGACTAACAAACAGGAACAGTAACAACTAATAAGAATTACAGAAAAAAAAGACAAAATAAATGTAAGGGCAGAAATTATCAAAGAACTAACACATAAATATCTTCCACAACTGAAATACATGAATGCCTAGTTTCAAAGGGTGCACACCAAGGCAGAGACCATAATATTTCAAAGTACTGGAAATAAATCTATACACTTAAAGTTTCCAGAAAGAAAGGGTTGCGGGACAGTTTGACGTCCTCAATTTAAAAAAAGAATTTTGTTTTAGGGGGAAAACGTCTTTGGAATATTTATTAAGGAATACTACAAAATAAACATGGAGCAATACTTCAAAATTCTGAGGGAAAAAAATTCCAATCCAGAATTCTATATCCACCTAAACTACATATGAAATGGAAAGTAAAGTACAGATATTTTCTTCTAATAACGTAAAGTTAAAAAATTCTGTCTCCTACATACTGTTTCTCAGGAAACTTCTGGAAAGTGTGCTCCATCAAAATGAGGGGGGGGAAACTAAGAAAGAGAAGCATACAAGATTTAGGAAAAAAGAAGCCAAACTCCAGAAAAGACAATGGAATTCCCAGTGTGAGAGTGAATAGAGATCCAAGGAGGGCAATAATGTAGTAGTCTGGGTGCACCAGTGCTGGGGGTCCATCAGTCTGGGAGGACATCAGTTCAGGGGACAATCCTGGGGATATCATTCCTGCAAGGCAGGAATATATTGTTTTATATATAGATATATATTGTTTTTGTTGTTAAGTGCCGTCAAGTTGGTTCCGGCCCACAGAAACCTTGTATAGGGTTTCTGAGGAGCGGCTGGTTGAGCTTGCACTGCCAACCTTACCATTCAAACAGCTTTGTAGTCTGGTGCATTAACCCATAGCACCACACCAGGACTCCAGTATATATATATATATACTGTTTAAGAAAAGAAATGTCTTTACAACTCAACACAGAAATTTACTGCTTGGCTTAGCTATGAGAAATATATAACATTGTCATAATAATGCAATCATTGAAAAATTATTTAGGCAAGAGTTGTGACAAAATTATTTTCATAAGAGAGGCGTGTCTGCATGTGTGCGTGCATGAAATGGTAGCTATTGCAGTGTTAAATCAGTAGGATAATGGTTAACATTAATATATTATGTGAATAGTCACTTAAGCATAAATATTGAGGTAAGTAACCAGAAGAAAAAAGAGCACTGGTGGTGCAGTGGATTATGCATTGGGCTGTGCTACTAAGCAAAAGGTCAGTGATTCAAATCCACCAGCCCCTCTGTCAGAGAAAGATGAGGCAATCTGCTTCCATAAAAAATTTACAGCCTTGGAAACCCTATGGAGCAGTTCTACTCTGTCCTGTAGCATCACTATGAGTCAGAAACAACTCAATGGTAGTAGGTTTTTGCTAGGGCCAACTGCTGCATCTGGCAATCAGCTATACTCCGCAACCAGCATGGAGAGATTAAACCTAGTAGGGCGATAGGAGATTAGAAATAAAAGAAAGACACAAGACACAATGGAAATAAATCAAGTTGAGATCAGGTGGGACGCAGTACTCTAACAGGGATACCGCAGCACAAACCAAGTGCAACAAGTTTATTATATATATAAACTACTTAAGGGGAGGTGCTTGAGGGAAGGTAAGGAATGCAGGAACATCTTGTGCTGAAAGTGCATGCAGTAAGTGGAACATTATCAGAAAAACTGTAACTTGTAGTAGCTAGCTGGAACACAGATTAGAGCAGCTAAATGTTTGTGCAGACTGAGCTAAAACGTCATGGCTGTGTACAAGGACTTGTTTTGCAGGTACCTTTTCCCTTGAGCCCACTTTGCAGACTCAAGGGGCAGCTAAGCCTGGGTGCAGCCCAATATCATGAGCCACAGCTGACAAGGAGCACCTTTGGTGGGCCACAATTCAAGGTCACACTTCGTGGCAACCAAGAGGTCAGCTGTAACCCTTGGTTAAACTGTTTCCAGGCCGCAGACCTTCGGCTCAGTTGCTCTCAACAGTTTTTGGTTAAGCAACAGAAACTGAGCACTTTCTTTGTTGTTGTTGTTGTTACATGCTTTCAATTCAGTTCTGACCCATAGTGACCCTATATAGGGTTTCCTAAGAGCAGCTGGTGAGTTTGAACCACCAACCTTGTGGTTCAAACTGACCTTACAGTCCAGCACATTAACCTACAGCACCACACCAGGACTCCATGTTCTTTAGAAACTTCAAAATATTATTTTATGCATCTATGTATAAAACTATGATGGCAAAAAAATAATTGAAAGGCGTCTTCTACTATTTCTAGGAGATTAAAAAAAAAAAAATTTTCTAATAGAAAAATGTATCACTATTCCCAGTCAGAATTCAGACTACCAGGTTTAGAGGCACCCTGCAAGGAAACATAGATGACCCACAACTTGTAATAACTTTATTGGTATAGTTACTGGGAGGGAGGGGGTGTCTCATTTATAAACTAAATTCTAATGCAAGGTATAGAGTCCTAGTGTGGTGCTGTAGGGTAAGCATTGAACTGCAAGGCCGATTTAAACCACTTGGTTGGCAACTCAAATTCACCAGCCACTCCTCGGAAACCCTATGTTGTTGATAAGTGTTGTAAAGTCGGTTCCAACTCACTGCAAGCCTTATAGAGGGTTTCCAAGGAGAAGCTGGTGAGCTTGAGCCGCCAATCTTGTGGTTCAGTCTTTTCAGTCCAGCGCATTAACCTACAGCACCACACCAGGACTCCTGGAAACCCTATACAGGGTCTCTATTAGTTGGAACTGACTTGACAGCACTTAACAACACTGCAAGGTAAATAATTAAAGTGAGGCAGGACACATACAAATGACAATACTCCTTAGAAAGGATAACTTCTACTCTGATGCAGCCAACTGTTGCATGAAGTTATATTTTTGGTAGGAGGGTCAGAGGTTCAAGAGAAGCTGTGAATCTACATTTTCATGTGAAATCTCCAAATTTGAAAATGTTTAAAGTGCACAATGCCTGCCAAACCAAACCTATCTACAGGGTGCATCCAACTCAAATTGTTGTTAAGTGCTGTCCAGTTGGTTCTAACTCATAGGGTTTCTGAGGAACCTTGCGGTTCAAACCAGCATTTCGGTCCAGTGCTTATCCTGCAGTGCCACACCAATCTGTGAGTTTGCTAGTTATCATTAACACTGACAAACTCACAGATTGCCATTGTTAATCTGTAAATGAGTTGCATATTGAACCCCCACAAGGTCTATGACTCTGTGTCAGTGCAACATCTCATAATCAGAAATTCTCATTGAATGTATGCTTCTCCAATGGTTGCCTCAGTGGTGCAATGGTTAAATGCTCTACTGTTAACCTAAAGGTTGGCAGTTCAAACCCACCCTGTGGCTCTGTGGGAGAAAAATCTGGCAATCTGCTCCTGTAAATAATGAAGCCTAAAAAACCCTTAGGGCAGTTCTATTTTGTGACATGGGGTCGCTATGAGTTCAAAATCCAGCGAACAGCACCTAAAAACAAAAGCCTGGCTTCTCTACTTCAAAAGATGCAGTTTAGCCAAAGCTGGCATGCAAACAACCTTCAATTTTTTTACTTTTATCTTGACTATGAATGCTCACAGGAGCTCTGGTAGTATAGTGTTACAAATCAGGCTGGTAATCTTAGGGTCAGCAGTTCGAAACTACCAGCCATTCTGCAGGAGAAAGATGAAGCTATCTGCTCCCATATACAATTACAGCCTCGGAAACCCTGTACAGGTTTGCTATGAGTTGGAACCAACTCCACGGCACATAACCACCACCACCACCATGAATATTCACAAACCTTAAGAGACTAGATCTATACAGATCCTCTACTCAAGGAGGCAAAATCATTAGCAGAGATAGGAATAATCACAGCTGAGATGAAAATAAAAAGTAATTTTCAGAGAGATACAATTATCATGTTCTTCCAAAAAGATGGCAATAGCCTTTAAATCCAAAGAACAGCATTACAGTCATTTCAACAGCAAGCTCAATATTTGCTAAGATTATCTTTTAGTCTTTCTAAAGAAACATTTGCCCACCACTGTTAATTATCTTGTTGGTCCACAGGTCTACAAACATGAAGACTGTGGTATTTTTCCTATACATCTTGGGAGCTGGGGCTGCAATCCCGGTGAGTTTCCTTAGTTTCTGTTAATACATCTCTCCCTCCTGACATATAGCTTAGAAATATCACAGTAAGGGGGAGAAAAAAGCTCAGGTTTTTACTTCAAAATCTTTTTATTTTAATTGTATTATTTATTGCCCAATCAGAAGATGCATGATAAAGGAAATCTAGATAAAATTCTTTTTTTAAAAAAAATCATTTTTTTCAGTGCAAGAGTTCCAGGAAATAGAAGCAGTACTGATAGCTGAACTGACATGGAGGGGATTGCAATGACTGTAATGAAGTAAAGTATATGATTTGTTGTATGTAAAACTGATGATATGTTCTGTAAACCTTCACTCAGTTCACAATTTTAAAAATGTTTTGAAGAAGCCATTTCTTTCAGAGCTATCAGAGTAACAGATTCAATAAAACATGAAGCTGGAAGTATTTGTTAGCAGTTTATTAGCCATAGACAATGACTGGATACCAAAAAGACCAGAAAGAAAGAAATTATCTTCTGGAAGCTCAGCCCATTGTTATGAAAGATCAAAGTGCCTTTGTGTATTTTCCAGAAGCTGTATCCTTCAAGATCAATATAGAATGGCTGAGAAATTCTGTGAGAGTTTATAGTAAAAACAGGGGTTAGGGGTTATAACTGGTATGGTAACCTTTGACTGGCTCCTAATTCCTCTTAGGAGGCTGCCCAAGCAAACATGCAGAAAGCAGACAGGACCTTATCTTTTTCATGTTCTTACTGTCTGCCTTGTTGTTGTTGTTGTTGTTGTTAAGTGCTGTCAAGCCAGTTCCAACTCATAGCAACATTGAATAGGTTTTCTGAGAAGTGGAAGTGGCTGGTGAGTTTGAACCACTGACCTTGCAGTTCAAACCGACCTGGCGGTCCACTGCTTATCCTCAGTGCCACACCAGGACTCCTAGTAATCCAGAGATACTGACACTACCATTCACGCAACAATGAAACAGATGTAACAAATAAGATTACTTGAGACCTTGTCAGTAACCTCAAAATAACATAGAAAAGTAAAATAAAAATTTTAAAGTGGAATTATGGTTTGGTTGATGTCTCCCAGATTATTTATACTATTGTTAATCAAGCCAAATTCTTTGTGCAATTTTTATTCATCATCAATTGGAAGAATCAGCCACCCTTATTATATATTGCCTTTTCTCTCCCTCTCCCCATAAGTTTAAGACCCTGTACTTGCTTTTGGATCCTAGTGCCTATCTCTGGTATACAGATGTGTCCACAAAGACATACAGCATGCCACCCAGACTAAGCAGTTCTTGGAAAACAGAATTTATGACCACTATTAAGAATCATGCCTAAGTAGTATGGAGCTACTCCAGCTGAAATTATACAATGTACAAAAAGCAAGACAAATTAGTATTCAGAACAGAAAGAAGTTCTCATAAGCCCTTTTTTTTTTTTTTTAAGCCCATTCTTTTTATCCTGAAAATGTGTTTTGCCCTGGCAGCTGTTCCTGCTGTGTAAACAGACATCAAAACATTCTTTGAACCACATGTTTGAGTGACACATCTGCATATAGACACATCCCAGATGTGGCTCCTGTGTTTTTTTTGTTGGGTTTTTTTAGGACAATTAATTATCATGCAAGCCCAGCCAACAACAGAAAACCAAATAGCTTCTTACAGGATTTGCCTATTAAAAGACATATTATTCCCACCCCCGCTCCACTACTTGTCTGTCAGTTTGTTGTGTTGTGGTGCCTTACATGTCGCTGTCATTCTGGAAATTATGCCACCAATAAGAGTTGAACAGAAGATTTCAAAGGGCCACCTCAAGAAGACATAAAGCAGTATTATCATGAAATGTCCAACAAAGAGTTAGAAAACCAAAAGGGAAGAACATGCTCAACATTTCTCAAGTGAAAAAAACTGAAAACATTTGAGCCTTGAGTTGCAATATGGAAGGATTATTTGAGCAAGTGTCTTGGTTAGGGTTTTGTGTCAACTTGACTAAACCAGGATTTCCAGAAGTTTGACACTTGGAATGTGCTTATTCCCATGGTGATGAAATCTAATACAGGCATAGTTAACTCTGATGAGTGGCATGAGCAACAATTCAAGTGAAAGGATGCTTACTTGGGCATGTAGTCTGTTCCCAATACAATGGACATGTGAGAGGGACTCTCTCTCTCTTCCGCTGAGGACCTGGGACTCTGCAATTGTAAACTCTTGTCTGATAATAAACTTCTATACACACACACACACACACATATATATATTTCATTGGTTTCTCATGAAAGACAACAAGATATTGAAGAGTCAGGAAGCACAACCGACTATGCTGCCAGGACTCCTTGTTCATTTGGGTAGCTCCTTAAAATTTACAAAATGTTTTATATGCATAATCCTACTATCTTAGACGTAGAATCCCAGGTACCCAGCAGAAGAGAGAGAGTTCCTCTTGTGTATCCATTATAGGGAACAGGTCACACTCCCAAGGAAGCATCCCTTCAAATTGATTGGTTGCTCCTAGCTGCTCATCATAGAGTTAACCATGCCTGCATTAGGTTTCATCATCATGAGAATAAGCACATTCCAACTGGTAAACATCTGGAAATTCTGGCCTAGTCAAATCGACACAAAAGCCTACTCACTAAACTTCCCTTGGTATTTCCGTTCGTGTCAACTTATGAGATGGCAGGGTAGAGATTCATGGCTTGTCATACTGAAGATAGATGGCAAACAGCAGCTTTAAGACTTAAAGGGGGACCTCTGACCTCTAATTCCAGTTGTTCAACTTCCCCATCATTCAGCTGCCAGCACTTCATCTAAGTCTCTGTTCTTCGCTGGAAGTAGAGTCATCCCTTCAGTTGAAGGACTGTGTCATAGATATTCTGCCCTACTGGGTTCAGTGGACTGTTTCACACAATCCTCAAATTCATTCTAGATTCATTTTTTAAATTAAAAGATTTTAGACTTAAAAATCTGATGGAGTAAGGCCTCATAAGCAAAAAAAAAATGAGTAAGGGTTTATAATGTTTTTTTCTAGTTATTAGTAAATACTCCAAGGAAGAAAGATGAGACTTTCTGCTCCCATAAAGATTTACAGCTTCACTATGAGTCAGAACTGACACAACAGCACACAACCACCACTTAAAAGCTAAACTGAAAAACAATGTTATTACCTATGGTTACTTTAATTTGACTTCAACAGTCTACTTTATTAGACTAATTTAGATGATACTAATGTGTGGTGCTATAAGATGAACACTGAACTGCTAATCATAAGGTCATCAGTTCAAACCTACTAGCTGCTCCTTGGAACCCCTACCCAGCGTTGCTATGAGTCAGAACCAAATCAACAACACTTAACAACAACAGCAATGCTTTTAAATTTTTGAAAACACAAAAATCATTCCAAAATTCATAGATCACTATTATTGATATCTATGTTGCTCTTGTTCTGTTTTCATCCAGTCTGTAAATATGCAACTTATTCTTAAAGATGATTAAGATTCTGTTTTACTTAACCTTATATTCTGGATATTTTCTTATAGTCTTAAGAATTTTAGAGAACACCTTTTGACTTGTGAATAAAGCAGATTGCTGTGAATAATCAATGGTGACAATAAGAGTAGCTAGCAATTAAAAAAATAATAATTAATATCATATACTAGTAAAATATTGCTAAAGATAATTCAAAAAAGTCTGCAATAGTACATTGACAGGGAACTGCCAGAGGTTCAAGCTGAACTCACATGAGGATGTGGAATGAGGGATACTATTGCCGGCATCAGATGGATCTTGGCTAAAAGCAGAGAATACTGTGCTTTTTTGACTATTCAAAGACTGCTGACTGTGTTAATCATGACAAGCTATGGACAACACTGCAGAAGATGAGTATTCATAAACACTTAATGGTGCTCATGAGGAACCTGTAATAGACCAAGAGGCAGTCATTTGAACAGAACAAGGAACACTGAATAGTTGAAAATCAGGAAAGGTATGCACCAGGGTTGTATTCATTCACCATACTTATTCAGTCTGTAAGCTGAGCAAATAATCAGAGAAGCTAGATTATATGAAGAAGAACATGGCATCAGGATACAGCCTTGCTTGCTGAAAGCACAGAAAACTTAAAATACTGATGAATATCAAAGACCACAGCTTTCAGCCTAGGTTGCACCTCATTGTAAGGAAGACAAAAATCCTCACCACTAGAAGGAGCTCTGGTAGCGTAGTGGTTACGAATCGGGCTACAAACCGCAAGGTCAGCAGTTCGAAACTACCAGCTGTTCCGCAGAAGAAAGATAAGGTGTTCTGCTCCCGTAAAGATTAACAGCCTCGGAAACCCTGTGCAGGGTCATTATGAGTCGGAACCGACTCCACGGCACATAACAACAACAACAACAGAGCAACAAATACAATCATGATAAATGGAGAAACAGTTGAAGTTGTCAAAGACTTCAGTTTACTTGGATCCACCATCAACACTCATGGAAGCAGCAGTTAAGAAATCAGAGGATGTATTGAATTAGGCAGATCTGTTGTCAAGACCTCTTTAAAGTGTTCAGTGTTCAAGAGCAAAAGATATCGGTTTGAAGACTAAGGTGCACCTGACCCAAACCATGGTATTTTTAGTAGCCTCATATGCATGTGACAGTTGGACAGTGAATAAGGAAGACCATAGAAGAATTGATGCATTTGAGTTATGGCATTCGGAAAAGAATTTTAAAGGCACCATGGACTATCAGAACAAACAAATCCGCCTTGGAGGAAGCATAACCAGGAAGCCAAGATGGCCAGACTTCATCTCTCATACTTGGGACATATTATCAGGAGGGACCAGTCCCTGGAGAAGGACATCATGCTTGGTAAAGTGGAGGGTCAGGGAAAAAGAGAGAGACCCCCAACAGTATGGACTGTCTTAGTGGCAGCAGCAATGGCCTCAAGCATAGCAGCACATGTGAGGATGGCACAGGGCTAGGTGGTGTTTTGTTCTGTTGTATGTAGGGTCACTATGGGTCGGAATCAACTCAATGGCACTTAACAACAACAGCAACTTTTAAAATTGGTATCTATAAATGAATAACACAAACCGTTTATTTAATTTTTTTCAGACAAATGCAAGATTCTTATCTGATCATTCCAAACCAACTACTGATTCTTTGAGTTCTAGCCAACAAGGTGAAATATCAGTAGCACCTGGAAACACTGCAATTCCTATTTTAGGGACTGAAGATTCTGAAAATGAGAAAGAAATTGCAATACCTATAGAAGATCATCCCAACCATGAGGTAAAAGTAATATGATTATGCTAATATGTTTGTTAAAATATCTAAAAGTCTCAATTTCAAAGCATGGTCAAAGAAATTACTTTATTTATGTTTTTTTCTCTTTTTTTTTTCTAATGAAGATTATATCAACTGCCTCTAGTCACTAAAAGAGTTGCATGGATTAATGGTTTCCTGCTTGAACTGAGGTGCTATACAACTGTTTCATTTCACTAAATTTAACGTCAGGTGGAAACTTGTAGCTGTAGAAAATAAAGAATATCATAAATAAAATTTCCTGATAATGTGTGAAGAATAGGATTAATAAATATTAAATACTGACTTAGAAATTGCAAGTATGATGTATATATCTTATCATTTGCTACAAGAATAAACTTTTTTTTTTTTTTTTTTTTAAGGCTGAAAATTCTTCCATACTAAAGTCAAAAGAGGAAAACTATGAACAATCAGAAGATCAGGAACAGAATCACAGCCAAGAATCAGGACTGAAGAATCAAGAGGATGGTGATGGTGGCTTGGGTTTGAATTTGGAATACAAACCAACTGAAGGAACATTGGACCTAAATGAAGATGACAGTGAGCCTGAAAATAAAACTCTCCCAGAGAACATTGACTTCCTTGCTTCTGATGTTAGTTCCACTGTGGACTATCACCAACAAGAGAGTATTACAGAGGAAGAGAAAAGCCTAATTCATCAGTTGAACAGAAGCAGCAAATATAACCAAGACCTAAACGATCAAGAAAACCAGGAGCAGGACCCAAATATTCCCAAAGGGGCAGAGAAAGAGGAAGAGGAAGAAGAGCTGGATGCAGTTGGTACTCACAATGATAACCAAGAAAGAGAAGAAGAATTTCCCAAGAAACATTCTAATACCAATCAAGAAGAAGACAGTACCCAGCCTGAGGAAATTTTGGAAGAGCTCAGTCAACCAACTCAAGTTAGCAAGATGCAGAAGGAAGAATCTGTGCAGAGTAACCAAGAACAAGAAGATAATTCCAAAGCAGAATTGGAAGATGAAAATGCTTCAAAAATCAATAAGCGCGTTCAAGATACTGAATGGCAGAGTCAAGAAGGAAAAGCTGACCTTGAAATTGTCAGCTCCCACAAAGAGGTGGATAAAAAGGCTGTACCTGAAGCTTTGCTCATGGAACCAACTGATGATGGTAACAGCATGCCCAGAAATCATGAGGCTGAAGATGATGATGATGGTCCTAAGCACAATACTGGTGATGATTACTTCATCCCAAGCCAAGACTTCCTAGAGGGTGAAAGAGCTCAACCCAATTATTATCACATCAACAATGAGGAGCTAAAGGAAAGAGCCCATGAGAATGAGAGTGTTGACAGGAGTGAACCTGGAGAATCCCAAGGGGTGAGATTATTTACAATGATGCTTGTCCAACAAAGCAATTTGTTGTTGTTTTTATTCCAATAAACGCTCATGATATTTTTCTGTACTCCCATAATCTCCTGCACATAAACTCTCAAAATACATTACTATAATATGTATTAAGGAGCTCTGGTACCGTAGTGGTTAC